TACCACTGACCATAATCTCTTTAGAAACAGGCAGGCCATATTATAAGAGCAACATCCCACTAAATTCTAAAAGCTCTCCCAAATTTTTCTTTATAATATATAATATGAGTTACGTGTCGCTAATGGGAGTCATAGCACAGTGTGGTCAAATGTAATTTTTTCTTAATTCTTATATAGGAGCTGACTACTTAAGTTCACATTTTCCATAATGTCCTTCCCATCTTCCCCAGAAGGTGGTAGAAGAGAGCCATGCCTACACCACAGACTCCAATTACACAGAGAACTTCCCAGCATCTCAATTATTGTGCAGCACCAGGCAAAGTTTTAGGGGTAGAGGGTGGGTGGGGAACAAAAATCAAAAATACAAAACAAAAAACCCAGGAGCCTTCTGATAGGTTCAAGTTACTCAACAATTTTATTTACCCATTCCACACACACACACCCACACAAAAACACATTTTGAATACAGTTATACACACCTTAAGTGTATCTGAGTGGCATATTCTGTTATCAGAGTCACCAGATTAAATCAGAATGCTGCTAAAGACTTATGTCCCTACTTTCAACAGAGCTGTGCCTAGGAAATCTACAGTAGAACTCTAGCCCTAGGCTTCCCAATCCAGCCCATTCTCATTCGAGCCCGTGGTGCTCAGCCCCACTCCACTCCCCTCCAAAGGGCACCATTCGTGATCAGTCCATTGCTTTTGCCATAGCAAAACCATCACCATATCAGAATGAGTTGATTTTGTTACTTCGACATATTAAAAAATGTACATCAGCAATTCAGATACAAAAACATTGAGTAGGTAAATATTGGTCACAGATATTCAGGGAAAGGCTTACTGGAAAGAATACTTTTACCAACTCTTAAAATCCATTTTTGAATGCAAAATTTCCTTTGCATTTTTATTTATTAGATTAGGAATAAAAGGCAAAAATGCATGGCAGTCTAAAAACAGCAGCACTATCCAATGGAATGCTACATTCCATAACAGGGTAAGTTGAGGACACAAACAGTTCAGAAATGGACGGTATAAGTGAAGTCCTGCCCCAAAGCAGGGGACTGGATGAGACGACTTCAAGTAGAGGTAACAACTTCAGGCTCTTAACAGACATTCCCTTGGCTGAATTCATAAAATACTACACAAGTGATTACAACCATTATCTTTAACAAAATGATGAGAATTTTGTCACTAAAGTACAAGAAATTTCTATTAAAAATCATAGTGTACAGAACCTCCCCATAAAGAAAATGTATGGAGTGCTTAGTACCTTTCTTTGTAAGACACATGCTACAGACAGAAGATTGCAATAATGTGTATATACTACCAATTGGTACAATCAGAAAACAGGTAGACTGTGAACTTACAGACCTTACTAGAGCTAGTCAGACAGCACCTAGATCCTACCAGTCTATCAGTCAGTTTAGCACACAGACACTACTAGCATCTGTCAGTCAGCAAGCAAGCAGTTACTGTTAATAACTAGAGTCTGTCAGTCAGTGAGCACATAGATGCTATCAGAGTATGTCAGTCAGTCAGCACACAGATCCTATTAGAGTCTGTCAGTCAGCAAGCACACAGACACTACTACAGTCTGTCAGTAAGTATACAGACCTATTAGATTCTGTCAGTGAGCACATAGATGCTATCAGAGTCTGTCAGTCAGTCAGCACACAGACACTACTAGTCAGTCAGTCAGCACACAGACACTACTACAGTCTGTCAGTGAGTATACAGATCCTACTAGAGTCTGTCAGTCAGCACGCAGACACTACTACAGTCTGTCAGTCAGCACAGAGATCCTACTAGAGTCTGTCAGTCAGTGAGCACACAGATCCTACTAGATTCTGTCAATCAGTACACAGACACTACTAGAGTCTGTCAGCAAGCACACAGACACTACTAGAGTCTGTCAGTCAGTAAGGACACAGATCCTACTGGATTCTGTCAATCAGTATACAGACACTACTAGAGTCTGTCAGCAAGCACACAGACACTACTACAGTCTGTCAGTAAGCATAAAGATCCTACTAGAGTCTGTCAGCATACAGATCCTACTAGAGTCTATCAGTCAGTGAGCACACAGATCTTTACTGGAGTCTGTCAGTCAGTGAGCATACAGATACTACCAGAGTCTGTCAGTAAGCATACAGATCCTACTAAAGTCTGTCAGTCAGTGAGCACACAGATCCTATTAGATTCTGTCAATCAGTATACAGACACTACTGGAGTCTGTCAACAAGCATACAGATACTACTAGAGTCTGTCAGTCAGTGAGCATGCAGATCCTACTAGAGTCTGTCAGTCAGTCAGCACACAGATCTTTACTAGAGTCTGTCAGTCAGTATACAGACACTACTGGAGTCTGTCAGCAAGCATACAGATCCTACTAGAGTCTGTCAGTCAGTGAGCATGCAGATCCTACTAGAGTCTGTCAGTCAGTCAGCACACAGATCTTTACTAGAGTCTGTCAGTCAGTGAGCATGCAAATCCGACTACAGTCTGTCAGTCAGTGAGCACACAGATCTTTACTAGAGTCTGTTAGTCAGTGAGCATGCAGATCCGACTACAGTCTGTCAGTCAGTGAGCACACAGATCTTTACTAGAGTCTGTCAGTCAGTGAGCACACAGATCTTTACTAGAGTCTGTCAGTGAGCATGCAGATCCTACTATAGTCTGTCAATCAGTATACAGACACTACTAGAGTCTGTCAGTCAGCACACAGATCCTACTAGAGTCTGTCAATCAGTATACAGACACTATTAGAGTCTGTCAGCAAGCATACAGATACTACTAGAGTCTGTCAGTCAGTCAGCACACAGAGCTTTACTAGAGTCTGTCAGTCAGTGAGCACACAGATCCTACTAGAGTCTGTCAGTCAGTCAGCACACAGATCCTACTAGAGTCTGTCAGTCAGTCAGCACACAGATCTTTACTAGAGTCTGTCAGTCAGTGAGCACACAGATCCTATAGAGAGTCACAGATCCTACTAGAGTCTGTCAGTCAGCACACAGATCTTTACTAGAGTCTGTCAGTCAGTGAGCACACAGATCCTACTAGAGTCTGTCAGTCAGTCAGCACACAGATCTTTACTAGAGTCTGTCAGTCTGTCAGCACACAGATCCTATAGAGAGTCAGCATACAATCCTACTAGTCTATCAGTCAGTAAGCACAGAGACCTTACTAGAGTCTGTCAGTCAGCCAGCACAGAGAGCCTACTAGAGACAGTCTTCTAAACAGTATGAGTCTAAATTCAATCTCTGGATACATTATATCTTCTGATGTCTGTGTGGCCTTGAGGGGAAGTCAGAGTTCTACTTATCAATGTTCAACCTGACTTAACTGTTATACATTTTTAAAATAAAAATATTGTAAAACACATATAAGTCAAAATATATACTAGAAAAGCTGAGTAAATCTATCAAATTTCTTGACACCAAACAGCATGGCTTCTGGGCTTGACAAAGACAATGGAATGTATGTAAGACTACATAAACCAGATACTGTTTTTTCAATTACTAGACACTCTTTCCCTTGTCCATCGGCCATCCTAAGCACCAGTGAGTTTCTCAGATCTCCTACACATGCACAAAAAACTGTAAAATGAATTTATTTCCAAACAGCTATAGCATATGTTTCTTCAAAATGCCAGTGCCCCTGAAGACCAAATGTGGGCTGCAAAGAGGATTATCCAGATGATAACAAGGAATATTTAACCATTCCATCTAGGAGTGCAAATGTATAGTATCCCTAACTCTAACTTGGGAAACAAGCAAACAACAAAAACCAGAAGCAATGATAGAGGGTATATATATCCCTAGCACAATACATGAGTTTTCTTATTCTACTTTTCAAATCAAGGTAAAACCATCCCTTTTATCAAAGTAAAACAACAACAAAAAAATACAAATAATAAGTAATAGCTAAATTCCAATTTGGGGATTAGGAGATAGAACAGAAGCAGGTTCTCTAAGTCTGCTTTAGATTCCTCTTTCAAATCTGTCATAGACTTCCTCATTCAGTTTTGAAGCAAGTACAAGAAAACAGAATAGATAGTAATTTTCCTTTCCCCATTTTATACCAGTAGATTAAATGCTAATGTCTTCACCTATTTCTCCCATAACAAAACTTAAAGCCTCAGCAAAGGGTACTCTGAAGTCCATTTTTTCTTTGTAGGACTTGTGCTACAGACATGATCACAGTAGTGTGCATGTACTACCAACACACACCCAACAGAAGTTACACACAACAGAAGTTACTTGTGTAACTTCTGTTACACAAGTAAACTTCTGTTACACAAGTAACAGAAGAGGGGACAAAGGCCTAGAAAAGAAAGACAGGAAGTAAGACTTCTCTAAAATTTGGAGTCAGAGCTTTTTCCCATTCCATATTCTCCTGGCTTCCTTGTGTTGAACTTCTTGGAAAGGATCTTGACCTAAAAACTAAAGGTAGTGGAAAACTTTTCTTGTCAAATTCCAATTTCTCGTGTTCTACCTGAGGATAATAAGACCACCAAAACGCCTCTTCTGGGGGATGCAAACTAGCACAGGAGAGTGGTGAAATAATCAGCACGTTGAGAGCCAGAATGAACATCCCAGTGACCTGCCTCTAATGCTGGGGTTTATAACATGGTAACACAATGCTAAGTTTGTTAGAGAAGGCCACTCATGCTAAGAGTAGGTACAGTCTAAATCCAATGTCTTTAGATCAAAGTGCTCCCTCTTCTCATTCATTAGCTCTGAATTATTCTTACTGTGCAGCAAGAGAAAAGACTGAATGCCTATCTGGGCTACAGATGTCACCCTCCAAGCAAAGGTATACAAGGTGACCCTGTAAAAGTGCCACATACCCCCCAAACCACATCCCATTCTTGCAATGGTGGGGGCACTCTCACATGTCAACCCCTTTAGTGTTGTAGCCACAGGACAGTAGAAAAGTCAGCAATCTGTACACCACTGCAACGGCCAGCACTTCTAGACGCAGTGTGTTGTTCTTTTGCCAATGTTCATGTTACAAATTATATGTCCTGTCTCTTAAAATAACCTTCCTCAGGGCAAGGACCTTTTTGTACTTCTGTGTATCCTTCCCCCACCAGCCCGGAGCCCCACAAACAAAGACACTACGTACACATTAGGTAACAGAACAACAGGTTACTTTATGTCTTGGATGAAGTTTTGAGAAGACTCTAGGCAAGCAGCCTTTGGAAACTGGCCATGCACTTGTGACAGAGTAAAGGACTCGGAATTGGGAGTCAGTTGTTGGTTAAGACAACCTTTATCATCCTACAGATACTACTTCAGTACCTCTCTCCAGGGTGCTTAAAATCCCCAGCTGTTAGCCAACGACAATTACATAATTCAGTGGTGTGTTCCACATCGCCCTGCAATATAAAGGGTTAAAGATGGGACTAGGGAAGGGGGCATGGGCAATATAGATAACCTTAATACTTGTACCCCCATAATATGCTAAAATAAAAAAAAATTAAAATTAAAAAAAAGATGGGACTAAAACCTACAATAACCCTCTAAAACACAGCAGCCTGCCTTGGAGGGTGTTATTTGATTTAATATTACGATCTGCTCAAATATAATGTATACCTCCAAAGAACTGTCCATTCAGAATCATCAGGAATTCAGAATTCCTAGGTTGATGCTTTGTCCCAGGAACTACTATTCCAGTATTTTTTTCCACCCATCTTTCTAAGGTAGAGTTCTTAACCTGGGTTACAAATCATCAGGGAAGCTACTGAAACACACGCATGTCCAGACCCCATTCTCAGAGATTCTGAATCGATATTAAGCCTAAGGCAGACACAGGTCTGTTTATGTTCCAAAATATCTAAACAGGATTCAAAGGAACACTCCTAGATGAGAACCACAACAAAAGGTCTTCCATTACCAAACAAAAACAAAACAAAACAAAAATATCCTTGGAAAATAGCTAACTTGTTCTCACTGGTTATCTCTAAAAGACAAAAGCTTCCCACTTTAAGGTGGGGAGACACCTATCTCTTTTTAAAATGTCATGAGAACTTTAAATTTGCCTCTCAGAAAAATGTACATATATTCAGACATATATGTACATTTTGCATGCAAAATTGGGAGACAGAGTAAGCCATCATGGACTAACAAGGGGCTAAGAATCCCTTCTCTAAGCATTTCCTATTTAACCCTACAAAGAAAATGAAACCACAGAAGTAAATAGATAATATAAACCGTCAAGAGCCAGACACCACAGGGTTCCAAAGACTCCTTTTATGAGACAGTTTCTCCTTATGAACACAAGAATACTCCAATGAGAAAGATTAAATGTACCATCAAGCTTTACCACATTTGGGGAAGAAAAAAATTATCCATATTTTAAAAATTGCTCATATAGGAAAAATTTCATTTTTAAACTTAAGGAGAATGTGCTGAAAATTATTAGAAAATAAAAAGCAGCACAGAGAACTCTTCTCTGCCTTTTTCCTTGAGCAATTCAAACATCAGGGGTGACGCCTGAACCTAACTCCATCCTGAACAGCCCCACAGGTCACCGGCTTTGGCAGAAAAGGTGTTGTGAATGACAGAGAACCTGGGAACCACTGGAGAAGAGACATGACTGTCCTCCAAGAAGCCTCCAAGAGCTAGAGACCAACCTGCTCTTCTAAACCCGACTCCACAGATACCAAAAGACCTACGCCTGACTCTTCAAGTTGAAAACACAAACCACATCCTCAGAGCCAGCTTCCCCAAAGGTATTGAAGACTTAGGATTGTTTCTCACGAAAGGAGGCAAAATTTCTCACCCTATGTCCACTTGCAAGCTCCCGATTATTCTGTGGGTGTTCGGCAGCCTGGGCTGGCCCTTGCAGGACCTGGCTGGAGAGGAAGGGAGAAGGGGAAAGAAAGACTCTCCCAGGCCAGACCCATTTAGGCCCACTGCAGAAGGCATTACCTGGGCCAGACTTCTCTCTTGCCAACCATCCCCCTCCTTCCTAGACAGACATGACAATGCCATGCATTACACTGGACAGTCCGAAGGGGAGATGAAAGAGGGGGAAGAAAGCAGTCAAGTACGGACAGTGAGGAAAACACACACTAAAGAGACAAAGGTGAAGAAAAACTGGGCTTTTGTGTACCCCTCCCACAGCCCACTGCCACCACCAAGACCACTTCCCCAGCTCGAGCACATTAGTGAGTGCAGACACCAGGGAGCAGAGAGAAGAACCAAGTGTATGGGGCACGCTTGGCCCCAGGGGAGTGTATCCTTTCCCTCTTCCTCCAGACTTGCCCTAAAGGACTCAACTTGCCAACCTGCCCCCAAGCGGGGAGACGTTTCAAACTGCAGACCGGCTCTCTAAACTGGGTCTGCAGATACATGATCTCAGGCTCTGTGTCACGATTAACAGGTGAGGTGTCCGAAGTGGGGGTTGGGGGAGGAAGTTAAATGACTCCTTGGTTATTAGTGACAAGGGCAGGAGGCCAAGGCTGGAGGGAAACACACGGTTACGCCACCGGAATGCTGGCTTGGGTCTTCGGCTAGTCGGCCCCTTCTTGCATGTCCGGAGCACGGAGAGGGCTGAGGGGCTCGAGGGGTCGGCTCCCAACACTGTAATTTCTTGGACGCCTTATTGTATTCGAACTGGACAGAGGCGTAAAGCTGTTCCTCCTCATCCTTACAGGGGTTTGGCTCTTGGGGAAGTTGTTCTGATTGGAAATGGAGGGACACCACACAAATGAAAGCCACGCCAAAAGCTCACTCGCATAGGTTAAATAACGCTTGTAACCACAACAGCTGCCCTCACTCCTGCTCCTCCGCGCACGGGGTCTCTCATGGGACAGGGGACATGGCCCAGTCTCCTAGCACCAGGGAGCTAAAAGGGTTGTGCAAGTGAGAAGCTCCTTGAGAGCCATGTGCCAAAGCAGGAAGAAGACTCAAAGAAAGGAAGGGGCTTATTGAAGATCACACTGATGACCAGGGACACACCTAGGACTGAACCCAAGTCTCTTGACTTTACAGGCGCCTCTGGACTCTGCTTTCTCAGTGGAGACCTTCCGCGTTTTGCTTCAGCCAGGCACTTTCCATATTTAATTGAATTTCTAGGAGCCAACTTTCAAGGTTAAGACTCATGAAAGGAGTATTAATTAAAAAAATAATAATTCTAACATCTCTTCCTTTTAGAAGTAAGCAGACTACATAGGACTTGAGTTCTGGATCTGTTTCCCTTTAGTACATAAAAGAAACCCCAGTCTCTTGATGCTAAAGGTTCCAAGACTCAAGATGGCAAGGAAACTGGCACGTTCTCCTGTGGGAAAATACTTACAGTTGGCTTGTCACGGTGAGTGTTCACAGCCTCCACGTTGAGTTTAATTGTTTCCACTTTGCACCCTGGGAAAACAGAGGGAAGAAATGAAGCTGTCAGGGAAAAAGCTCAAGAGAAAATTCCTTAGTTTCATGATGGGAAAGTATACCATACAGGTATGTATGTATTCCGATATACATACATATATACATACATCTCTTTAAAAATGGAAGGCACTGATGGAACTTCCGTGGTATAAGTTGAACTTCTATACAAACTGCAGAGAAAATTCAAATATCCTGACCTTCCTCGATCCCCACATTCTGTCAGCCCCTAAGCTCATAGTTACCGTAGGCCACAGGAGTAAGTTTGAAGATGGTATGAAGTGGGCATCTCAAGTATGGTAGCTCATCTGAAAGCAGAAAGGCCAGACAAGAGAAGTCTTAATATTGGGGACAAGGTCAAGTTAGTAGGAGAGAGATTCTAGGGAGCTCATAACAAATTTTCTTTATCCTAACCACTACCTAGATTTGCACAGCTCCTACCCTAAACATCAGTCAATTCTCATGACCAAAGAAGCCCCGCAAGCTTCTAAGTGGCTAAGGAAGGAAATGAGGCCATTTCCGATCTTTCCATCAAGCAAAACAGGAATAAGTGCCAGGGGCCCAGGGAAGGGGTCCACCTGGGTATAGCAAAAGCCAATAATGCCTGGCCACAAAAGCTTCCCAGCAGTTCGGGGAAATGAAAGGGTGAAGAAATTTCTAAGATAGCACCTTCCTAGTAGTCAGAGTGACAGGCTGGGAATATTCAGCCACTTTCCTGAAGCTGCCAGGAGCGTCAGCTTGATGCTGGCCCTTGAGCCAGGCAGGATCAGGGAGTGCGAGCAGCAGCCACCCTCCGTTGGGGGTTTTTGCAGCAGCAGAGCGACTTTAGTAAGTAGCTGACCCCGTGGCTGCCGGGAGCCCCACACTGCTGCCTGAAGAATGTACTCTACGTTGAGTGGAAGAGGGGAAGGTCCGGTTGCTAAGGATCCTGGTGCCACCGTGAGTCCAGCCCTCTCCCCATGGATGCATCCCCCAGCCCTTCCCGCAAGCTGTACCTGCGCCTTTATCCAAGAAGTAGGCCAGGAGGCAGCGCATGACAGCCTGGTGGGAGATGACGAGGACGTTGCCCTGACGTTCCAGCTCCATGATGACGGGCTCCAGCCGCTGCACCAGGTCCTGGTACGACTGTGCGGGGAAATGGGGCGGGCTGGCAGGGGGCCAGATGCAAGCTGGCAGCCAAGTCAGCATCTGGGGCCCAGAGTCAAAAGGCTACTTCTTCTTCCCCAGCGGGCTTTCCTCCTGGATACTTAGCAACTTTATGTCACCAACTAACTGTCCCCAGCCCTGGTATCACTTGAGAGTAATCACATCTTTCAAGAGCAATATTCAGACCAAGAAAACTATGGGTCCAGAAGAGAAAGTCTGAATTCAACCTGGGCTGGGTTTTTGTTCCCATAGATTAATACGGGCGGCATATAAGACAACAAGAGACCCCCAGGAGTGTCCTGCACCTCTGCCATTCTCTTTTATTTACTTTTGCCTCACACATCCCTAAGTATAAAGCCACTTAGTCCAGGAAACAGCCTAAAACACTGAAGATGACAGGGCAATAATTCATATCCCATATATTTACTTGATGACTCCATCTGCTTATGTAGGGGTGGGATTAAGGAAATAGAATGAAAAATAGAAACTAAAAGAAGATCATGTTGATTCCACAACGTACGCAACATAAAGCAGGTCTTGTCACCCTTTTCCCCGGAGAGCTTAACAAATTAATGAGGCATTTGGCTGCCTAAGCTGAACTGGACCCAATATGACTCAAGGGTAAGAGGATAAACAATGTCTAGACACCCCTCAAATCACATTCAATTCTTCCCCCAAACCAAAGCTAAACCTCGGCAAAGGGCTATGCAGTCACTCCATGTGAGCGAGGCTCACCTCCCCACCAGGGTATCGGTACAGATACTTGTCTTGATCTCGAAGTGCAAATTCTTCTGGATACTGCTCTTCTATCTCTGCATAGGTCATCTCCTCACACACGCCCTGCAAAAAGCCACACTGGCTTAAAGAGGTAAACTGACCTGCACTAGCCCCATCCCCAGTGAGGAAGATGACACTGAAAAACATGAGATTCTCACTGCGGGCCATGCACTGTGCCGGGTCTTTTTGCGCTTTATGCCCGATTGTGCCCAGGGAGTCGAGGGGTGTCTGTGACTCTCAGGGTGAGGGCCACCGCGGAGAGGAAGGCAGCTTCTCTAGCCCCCCTGCCACTTTCTCCTGCTGCTGTGGGGATTCAAAAGGCCAAGAAAAGGCAACAAGACAAAAAGAAGAGGAAGCAGGGAAGGAGGGAAACCGAAAGGACTGGAGACCTTGCAGGAGAAATAAAAGAACAGAGAGGAAAGAAAGGACAAAGAAATTGCTACTTTTGTGCTTAAAGACAGAGAAAAACCAAGAAAAACTTTGGGAAAGACTTTTCCTGAATAGCTGACCAAATGATCTAAGCAGAAATTAAAGAAGTGGGTTGTTGGCTATTTCTTTTTCCCAGGCGGCAAACATACAAAGGAACAAAATGAGTCCTTGTTAGCCCTACTCTCCCCAGGTGCCAGAATGGCTGGGTCAAAAATTGGTTTGGGTCCCATCATTGACCAAAGAACTGAAACAGGCAGGAAATCTCATCTAGGGGTGCAGTTTTCCTCCCTGAACTCCCAAACTGGCCACAGATTCAGCTTCCTCAAAGTTTCTACTTTCTGTTTCTAGTTTCCTAGATAAAACTGCCCAAGTAGTGACTTCTCAGAGTTCCTGCCTAAATACGAGACCCTTATTGGCTTAGCTTTTTTTTTTTTTTGCCTTTTTTTTTTTTGGCCTTCAGAGTTTCCTACTCACAGCATCAATCTCATTCAGAATCTTCCACTGCTCATAGGTCACTCCAAGAGACTCTGCAGTCTGGATAGTCCTCTTCAACTGGCTCGTCCACACTTTGAGGTCTGCTATCTCCTGTTCCTCCAGAAACTTCCTCAGAGTGTGGGAAAACTGGGGTTTGAAAATAAAAATTAAAAAAAGAAGAGAGACAAGAGACATATGCACACACGCACACACATGCACAGAGACTAACTCAGCCTGAAATGGGCAATGTGTATAGCGCCATAATCAAAATCCATAAGGTGCTACAGTGCCACATAGTTAATATAAACCCACAAGGAAATGAACTTTGACTGATGCTACCTGTACTGTGCTAAGAATACAAATCGTGCCCAATAAATATGTGATGGCTGAACGATCACAGCAGAAATGGCTCCAAGTTATCCACACAGAGCTAGAAGCAGTGAGCAGGAGAACACCTTGAGTACCTGCCTGACTTTCTGAAGCCACAGTCTAAGCCCAAATGGGATTTAAGAAGTAGTAAGGGGATAAAACGGATGACGTCCACCATGCCCTTTTAACTCTAAGCCCAGGAAATCCAGCCTGCTGGCTAATTGCTTACCTGCTTTCCCCGCACTGAGAGGCCAGAGTCACCCCCAATCTTCCCCAAGAGGTTGAACTCGCTCTCTCCGTGCCGGCAAAGGTAAATGGTGCGAGGCTGGACATGAATATTCATGAGGTAGTAGACTATCTTGCTCTGGATGTAGTCCTGGACTCTGTTGACTAAAAATCGCTGGCCCACATTTATCACCTTGATGAAAGAAAGATCCCTGGGACAGAGCAGGAAAAAAAAAAAAAAATTCCCTGGGTATAAAAATCTGATAATCGGATTCAGGGGGCAGGGGGAAGGATTTCTATGGTGACTTGCAGGCTTATAGCCACTCTTCCTCCTCTCCCGTGTCATCCCCCCTTTTGTGGAACCGAATGGTAGGACATGGATTACTGCTCAAAACCAAGATGGAGCACAGTTTCCCGAACCTCCTTCTAGGCAGTCCATACCATTTCCTCAGTGTCTGTGCTGGGCCATGCAATGTAGATTAATATGGCAAACAGAATTCAGGCTTCCCTCCAGGGGCTAAACTAGATGACCTGAAGCTTTCGCTAAGCCTGAACTTGGTATGAAGAACAGGCCCCATCCGTGGCGATCGAGACCTGGCATATGGTGCTAGCAGTGACGCCATGAGGGAAGAGGCAGCAGGACATCTGCACCCTCTCTGCATCTACCTAAGTGAGCCTTGCTCAGAGACGCTTTCCAACACTGCTTGCTTCGTGGCCATCATTGGCTTGTAAAGATAATAAATGCTTTAAAAAAAAAATCACCCCCCCAAAACAGAAAAAAAGATAGAATGATGCAAATCACCCATCGCCCTACTACCAGAGACAACATCTACAAACACATACGTCCTATATAATACTCTTCTAGCAATGTTTTTATAGGTAGGACTTTGGGTTAACAGAAGTATATACTGTTATCTCACACAGAGAGCAGTGGTTTTTGACCTCTGTATGAAGAGGACACCTCCAAATATCGTTTTCTGGGCAGCCCACTGTTGAAGGAACTGAAAGGCTCAGAACACTAACCAGCCCACTGTTGAAGGAACTGAAAGACGCCAACGTTAACCGACCCACTGCAGCCATGCACATCTGTCGCCCCGCCTGCCTGGCTGCAGGTCTCTGTCCTTGTGTGAACAGAGCTGTCAACTGCCCTGAGTGCACGCTCTTTCACAAGGCCACGCTCCACGGAGTTCCACGTGCACACTATCTTTCTGCAACACAGACTTGGTGTTTCACCATGGCTCCTATACCTCACACACGACAAGTTAACACATATTCTATACCACGTTGCCAATAGATGCTGCCATAGTAATGACGGCTAGCACTGATCAGACATTTCTCTGAGTTAGGCAAATTCCTGAGGGCTTTACTTATAATATATATAAAAATATATACATAATATACAATATTTATTATACTACATACAATGTGTTATTTGAGATTATGATATGATATGTGCATGTATTAATATATATATAATATTATATAATATAGAGAGAGTAAACTTTAAAAATTGATTAAAAACTGATGGATGACACATCTCCAAGGGGTGTCCTACAACACCCTAGTTCAGAACTACTGATCTGGAGCAGTGGTTCTCCCACCCAAGAACTAACCAGGCCTGACCCTGCTTAGCTTCCGAGATCAGGTGTGATCCAGCGCGTTCAGGGTGGCATGGCTGTAGATGGGGTCAGTGGTTCTCAACCAGGGGTGCTCTGGCCCCTCAAGGGACATTTGGTAATGTCTGGAAACAGTGTTGGTGGTCACACCTTGGAGGTGTTACTGGTACCTAGTAGGCAGAGGCCAGGGATACTGCCAAACATCCTGCAATGGACAGGACAGCCCCTACAACAAAGAATTACCCGGTTCAAAGTGCCAACAACGCTGAGATTGGGAATTCTTGCTCTAGAAAATAGAGAGAAAATATTGAAGGTAAAAAATACTTCAGTGTTCAAGATGCAACCCACATAAAAGCCACAAATCCATACCTTGTTTCTCTGGAATGATGTGAACATTCCAGAGGTCTAGACTATCAGAAGGAAGTGAGGGGACAAAGGGAGAAAGGCTTTTTCCCCAGATGAGACCTTTGCCTCAGGCGCCCTTCGAACCATGGCCTTGAACCTTACTTGTCATAGTTGTCCGGGTCCAGGGGTCGGTAGGTGACTTTGTAGCACTCGATTCTCTTCAGGAAGTCCTCCATCACGTTCTCCCGGTTGCGCTCAGGGTAGTCAGGGCTCGACACCTTTACTTCCTGCAACCACAGGGCTAGTAAGGGCCCAGGCAGAGGTCTGCCCCGAACAGCCCTCCTACAAATAGCCACTGCTAAAAAAAGAAAAAGAAGTTCATAAAAGTAGCCTTGCACTGGAACGCTGGCACACCCCCCTGCCCCTCCTGTGACCTGGCAACCAAGAAAGTAAAGACAACTGGAAGTCATGTGTCTGCCCTTGGCTGAGGGCCAGAAGCAGTCACACAGCTGAAGCTGCTCCTGGGCCCCAGTCCCTTTATGCGCTTTGCTGGGAACACAGAATGGGCTCCAGTTTCTTCCCACTGCCACTCAGAATGGGGGGGGTGCATGACCCCAATGCCTGACTTAGGGCCAGAAGCCTCTTCCCCAGATGACCCCAAGTTCCTGCACTGCTGGGAGAGCACCACCATGAGACCATGCACAGATATCTCCTTGGCAGAACAGAGCGCAACCCATCCAATGGGGACTGTCTCCTGCTGTGACCCTACAAGGCATGAGGAGCTCAACGCATCAAACCCTGACTAGAATACTGGACGACTGCTGGGCAGATGACCTTCCCCTAAGTCAACCTTGACAGATTATGAAAAGTCTGATCTATTTCAATATCTAGATCGCACCATCCAAATGATATCCAGAACACAGGGCCAGGATTCCTAGAGTCTAAGACCATTCAACAGCTAATTCCAAAGCCTCAGTTTCCTCTCCCAAGGAAAGAGTGTGGAAGTACCAAATGGTGCTTTGGCAGAGACAGAAAAGATCTCCCTGTGATGTTAAAACATGTCTATTTTTCTCTTTCATTATCTAGAACACCCACTACCACACACAAACATACAGGGAGGGCACAAAAGGTGAAGAGGAGGTGGTATGCAGGGGTGTCACCCACCAGGATGTTGGCAGCAATGACATCAGGATCATCACAGACAGATTCCACAAAGAATACCTGGCCATGGAGACAAGGCAGTGATAAACAAGTCAAGCGTGCCAGGCTATTCATTAAGAGCACATGCTCACCTACCCCACCCAGCCACATCTCCCAGGATTTTCTTCGTGAAAGTGGCCTTCGAGGCCTCCTCACGTAGCTCTTATCACATCCCCTGGGCCTCAACCATACGGGCTAAAGGTCTGAGAAAGGGCCTGAAAGAAAATGCTCAAGGATGAGGAGAATCGGATATCCAGTCCTGCCCTCACCCACCACGGATCCACTGGAGTTAGTCCCTTTCCCATCCCCCCACCTCCACTTACACCTTTTTTTCTCCAGCACAGGGTCAGTCCTACCTTGAAGGAATTCTCCTTGGCAAAGTTCAAAATCATGTCCCTCCTCTCCCGGGTGGTATTGGTAGCATCAAACACCTGGGGAAAAAAGCACACAGGGGAAGTTGAGTAGGGACAGAGAATTGGAACCCTACACCAAGGCAGACCCGAGGTGGGCTGAGTAGCCAGGTGGCCGGAAGGGTGGGAACCAAGCAAGGGAAGAAGCAGGGAAGGCTCACCGCGATCTGCCCACTCTCCTCAGTGAGATAGGCCTTGACATCCTCCAGCGCCACCAGAGCACACTGTCTGCCAAGAGAGCAAAGGAAGCCGGCAAGAAGAGCTAAGTGCAGACGCAGCCAGAGACGCAAACAGTTGGGTTGCTATGGGATTCATGTATCTTCCCACTCAGTTTTCCGCTGGTCAAAATTTTTCCCTAGCTAGATCTTTCAACTTTTCCACTGAGCTTTTTACACCATCCTGTAATCTTCCTCCTGCCCCTGCCCCAATGCATGGATCTCATCCCTCTATAGGGTGCAAGCACACAGGCAACACCCCGAGCCCTGTTCTTTACCCACCCAAGGCCGAGGTGACCTGCCCATCAGGTAACTTCCACTTAAAATACCCACAAGATATTTACGGAGAGGAAACCAAACCAAACCCGTCTAGTCTCATGATGGCCAAGAAAGAGTCGGCCTGGGGCTCAGGCCTTGAACAAGACTCACTTGCGGATCCTCATGGCCTCCTCGTTGTCATGCCGAAAGAAGTCGTAGGACTTATAGGACTTGACTGCTTCACGCCGGTACACTCCAAGGTTAAATACTGCAGAAGACACGCAAATCCTTCAGCAGTAAAACAATATGATGGCCTCACCAAATGGAACTTCTTGGCCTAGTGTCACAGTGGCCAAGGGGATGAACAAAAGCACCATGGTGGGTTGGGAACGATACCAGATTAAGAGTCAAAAGAGTTGGGTTCAAGTCCTGACTTTCTAGACCTTCAGCTGAGTTTCAATTTCCTCCGCTACTCTATTTCACAGAGATACTGATAGGGTTAGATTAGATGATGCACATGCAAGGACTTTGAAAGTGTAAGGCCCTATACTCATTTAATTCTTAATACCCCCATCAAAGGCATTCCCTCAAAACAAGGCCAAGCCAGCCAGGCCACGAGGGCCAAGGCCAAGGCCACCCAGGCCAAGAGGAGACAAGTCTGGGAACAGGGAATAAATCCAGGAAACCAGAAAGTAATCACTATTTCTGCCAGAAGCACCCCATGACCGTGATGTCAGGAAGAATAAATCTCCCAGAGGCCTGTGAGGCCCAGGAACTAAGATTTCCCTTCCCAAAGAATGATCTGCACCTACCTTTGGTGGGCACTCCGATCCAGTTGAGGTAGCGTGTTAGTTTCTTGGACACATAGGTTTTACCCCGGGCTGGCAAACCAATCATAACGATGAGAGTTGGGGAGTTGGTCATATAGGATGCCCATGCTAGAAAGAAATGAAACAAAATAGAACTAAATGACTAGGGGCCTAGTAAGTTTATGCAGTGGGCTAGGAGCTTCACAGTCATAATCTTGTTTAATCCGCATAAACCTGTGAGGAACAGGTCCAGGAAGAGTGGTAAGGAAATATCAGACAGACCCTCCTGAAATAGAGTTAAAGGTTGTACAGACTTCCAGTAAGTTCCCAAACCAAGACATGCCTTTCCCACATGTCTGAGGTCTTCACAGAGGTACCCGAGGTGGAAAGAGAAGGAAAAGTGGTAAGGATTAGAAAGCAAGTAATCATGTCACCTCTTTACCATGAGAATGCCTAGTAACATGAGGATGATCTAGCTGGGAAGGAAGGTTCTACCAGTGCAGAACTGAGCGGGCTCGTATCATAGGTCCAACAGAGTTTCTATCTTGAAGATCTCACCCTTCCCTTCAAGGCCACAGGCAAGAATTAGAGTTCCCATTGCAAAGGGAGCCTTGTCTCAAGCTGTTTTGGCCTTCACACTCGGGCCTATGAGCTCCGCCTTAAGCCAGAATTTCTAAATCAATAGTGAGATTTGGTAGGCAAAGCCTACCTATTCCAAGTTCTGAATAAATCCCAGGAAGCTTTATGGTAGTGCTAGCCCAGCCTGCCTCAGTGGCCCAAATAAAAGCAAGACACTTGAGATGCATGAATAGTCACTGGTCTACCCTACCTTAGTCAATTATGAATAACTTCTTTCAGGAATACTCACAGAAATAAGTTTCACTGGACAAGTGGAGCAAACTAGATGTTCAGAGGTCGGGTGACTTATCTAAGGACACATGATGAGTCAAGGGGAGTGCTGGCACTGGTTTCCAGACCTTGTGCTTCCTTGGCAGCTTTTCTCCAGAAAAAGAAGCTCATTCTCAGCTTGTTCACAGGGACTGGCTCATCCCCGCCCATCCTGCCACAGGGAGAGGGACCTGCACTGCTACCAGCCCCTTTCCCGGGGGCAAGACCCTAACCGAGGATGACCTGGGAGGGCTTGACCCCAACCAAGGATGATCTGGGAGGGATGGGAAAGGGAGAGAAACACTTCCACCTTCCACTTCCCAGCACTGCTTTCCAGAAGGTGCCCTGCTAGTCGCTGCAGCTTCTCTGCCCTGGGACAAGGTGGCCTTGTAAGACTAAGAAACAACTCAGTAAAGTGGAAGCACTTGGATAGGAAATTCATCTTTCATCTTTTGAGAAAGAAATGTAAAAAAAGATCTCCCTGGAGAAGTGAGGGGCAGAGGGGCCCAGATAGGGAACCAGCCTCGGAAGGAAGAGAGTTGCCCAGGCAGGACCTCCTCCAAGGTAGGGAATGAAGCAACGGAAGTGATTTTCATCCCTGTCCAAATAGGGAGTGCAAGGCCAGCACACCCCGCCCTGCAGCCTCGGCTAGTATTAATCCCTGATCACTGACCCCTAATAGGCAGATGGGATCAGCTGCCTCAGGTTTAGGTAGTAAAATCCCCTGAGTCTTCACTTTCTCCAGCTCAGCTCAGCACCGCAGTCTTCTCAATCCCCCATGACTCGGCTCATTACCTGCACTGCCAGGCCCGCTCTGTCCACGCTTCCAGCCCATTAGGCACTTTCCCCAAAGGCCCTGTAAAGCTTAAATGAACTGACACTTGGGAGCTGCTCTGAAGGGAACTAGTGAACAGCTGTTCCGTGTTTACCCAAACTGGACAGAAAACTCCAAGCACAAGAGAAAACCCCAGCCACGGGGACGCCACATGTGCCCTCCTGCTCCGCGCCTCCCACCTCTGCCCTGAACACACCCACACACACCTGCTGCAACCCGGGTTTCTCAATTTCCCGAGTACAAAACTAAACTGCACTTCCTATCTCAAACGGCCACACTGGCAAAACCAGGAACAGTCTGTCCTGCTTGTTAAATAAACAAAACCACCTGCTGCCACCACCATCTTAATTTGAATGGTAGATACTTCCTGCTGGTTAATTTCAGCGACAATGTACCCCACCTTCGACAATGGAAAACCATTTCAACCTCGAAATTCCTCTCTACCTTCTTCACACAAGGTTTGACTCATTTTCTCAATGTTAAACTCATTTTCCCTTCCTAAAGTTGCTTAGATGAAACGAGGACTTGATAACTTCTCTAGTATAAACAGAAAAACTCAAGCCCAGAGAAGTTAAGAGTTTTGTCGGTAGCGTTGCACGATAGAAAGTCAAGGTCAGCGCTCTCTGACTCCCCATTCAGTCCCAGCTGCCAGCTGTTGTGCCTCAAATCTGCACTTGACAAAGGGACCCACATGGTAAACTCAAACTATGTTCTCCATGCTAATTCTGAAGAATGGTCTAGGAGAGCAATGATTCCCAGCCTTTTCATGACAAAGGTCGTCTTCTATTATTTGTTCTAAGTAGGTCCAACATTTTGAAATACGCTGCCCATAAAGCATGTTTCATTGGTGATATCTTATTTTTATTCATTAGAAGTCATAAAAACTGCTGATTATCTCCTGCTGTTTGACAGGCATGAAATAACCGACTTCACATAACCGCAGCCAAACTCTAAGAATGCTGATGTTTTTAGTTAACCATTGCAGCTATAGTTGCAAATGCCCAATTTCCATCAAGTATCTTGAAATATTAAAAACAGCTTACAACATAGATCTTCTTAGGAGAGCAAATTAGTAATACTGATCAACATTTCCAACATGTCCATCTTTTGTCCTATTTTTCTGTAGGAAAAGTTGCTGGCACAAACGTGCAAAGGTAGATGTGTAAGGATGCTCACTGTGGCATTCTTTGTGATGGTGAAAAATTGGAAATGATTTAAATGTTCATCGGTGGAAAACTGGCATACCCATACAATGCAGGATGAGGTAAATCTGGATTTACCAACATGAAAAGGATGTCCACAATATAGGCAGTTTTTAAAGAAAGGAAATGGCAGCAGGACAGAATATGTACAGTATGAACTTATTTTCATTAATGGGACACCCCAGTGTAAGATGTCTAAAACAATCAAACTTAGCAGAGTCAGGAGAGATTGTGGGAGATGTTTTTACTTTTCTCTTTCTTTCTTCCTGTATTGTTTGAATTTTTCATGAACACGTTTTGCTTTTGTATTTAGGGAAAGGTACATGTAGGGACTTGTCTGCTCCCTATCTACTCAAGAGATCAAAGAAATTAAAGAAAAAAAAGAAAGCACGTAGGCCCCCCCAATTCCTGCTTTCAAAGAGCCCTGAAACCAGTCATCTGAGCAACTTAAAGGCACCTCCATCAGCACCCTTCTTCACCCCATCCCTGGAGCAGTTGAAGTCTCAGTAATACTCCTTTGGAGGTTTTGGTTTCCTAAAGTCACCTTCTTCAGCCCTGAAGTCCTCAAGCCCAGTCACTTGCCAAAGTCAAAGTCAGCCAACACAGGTGTAATTAGCAGCAAGGGAATAAAGGTTAAGCAATTAATAAAGTAAATGCTGGTGTGAACACGAAGCAGCCAGGCGAGTCTGCTCCAAAATACAGGTACGTAGCAGAGCGAAAGGAAACAGACTAACACGTGTTCTCAGAACTGTATTCTCTCCTTTGACTACGGGTCCAACAGTCTCCCAACTGAGAAGGGAGTAGGGTAAATAAATCATGGTGGCTTTAAACCAGCCCAGAGGCCTCCAGTGGAGCAGGGGAGGGGGCAGAGAAGCTGTTTGGAGAAGCAGCTAGAACTTGAAAAGGAGAAATTAGAGCCCAGAGTAGGAATTAGAGTCTAGAACATAGGAAAGAGACCAGGGATCTTGCTTCCTTGACTAATCAGAAGCCCACAAGGCAGAAAAACTGCAGGAGGAGAGTTAGAAAGGCAGGTAGGAGAGATTCCTAGCATGGAGAATAAAGCAGAGCTAGAAAGACTGACACGGTACGTATCATGCACAGTCAGAGACGAGACTCCCACAATCATTGGTGCTACCCCCAGCCGCAGCTCTCTGATTTTTTTTGGACCAAGCATCCTAATAATACAAGTGTATTCCCCTTTAAGAGGTACATCCCAGATCTGGGTTACAATATTGTCAAACAAGAGGAAAAAACATTCTTTACTGAAAAAAATAACTCTTCACAGGACTCTTCAAAATAGTGAGCTCCCAGTACGGCATTTATATATGTTTCAGAAATAAATACAACATGCAGATTGAGTCACCTGTGAAAAACAACATACATTAGCTATAGGCCCAACACTCTTCTAAGTGCTTTCCTATATTTACTCATTCAATCCTCCTATCACTCTTGGGGGAAATACTAATAGTATCCCCGCTTTATAAAGGAGTAAACTGAGGCATGAGAGGATGAGCAACTTGTTCAAGGGCACATAGCTAGGAAGTAGTAAAGCCAGGATTCCAGTCCAGGAAGTCGAACTCCAGAGGCTGCACTCAAACATCATGTTATACTAGTTATCTCTCACGGGGTGTTTCACCCTTAGTACTTGGCTTCCTGCCCCGGGAGGTAAAGGAGACCCTAGCTGTGGAGGTGTGCCAACCCCAGTACCACATCCACACCAGCTGCTTCTGTCTAGCAGTCCTCATGCGTGCTAGGCAAAGAGAGATTATCATCATTAATCATGAAACTGACAAGGGCATGACATGAAGGTTGAGGCTCTGGGGGAAGCTTTGAACATGAGACTATTCCTGGTCTTGCACTGGTTGGCTGTTTCCACCTGCTGATATATATATAACTTCTCGAGTGAGAAGTACTGACTGATAGGATTCCAAAGGAAAGGTGCAATCCGGAAGCAGGGGCAAGAGTTAGCATTCCTTGAAATTCCCCAAAACATCTGGGCACTGGCATCCCAGTCCTTTTGGGAAGCTATGCAACCTACAATGTTGCTTAGGAATGCATGCTTCACCTCCCTGCAAGCCCTCCTGCTGTCTCTGTCTAAAAGACTGGCATGGAAATGCTCATGTGAAAGGTGTCCTCAAAGGAATGAACCTGCTGGGAAAATAGTTTTGCAAAGTGCAAAGGCTAAACCTCTGAGATAGCATGGTGCCCAGACACTGTGAGAAGTCAAGTGCCAGGGTTCATTCCTGAGGTCTGTAGGAATGATGCCAAGCAGCACTGGCTCCTACCTGCAATGTCTGTAATCAACAGCAGCCTCCCAAAATGGGCTACCAACAGATAAAGAGAAACTGATAACATTACCAGCCCAAGTAACTCCTGTACTCTGCAAATCTGTTTTACTCACTTTTATCAGCAAGCCAGTGTGCAGGAGATAGAGATTCAATTAAAGAAAGCTGTATAACAAACTGCTGGGCTACATCAGCACTTTAACCCCCAGAACAGATATTTCACTAAGTCTACTTCTTTCAGACAGGAAATTCCACCCTGGAGACTTTGTTTTCAATTCCTATGTCAAAGAATTATTTCTCACTCCCACCAAGCAGCAGAGTCTAGGATTACAACTGTATTCCCAAAATAAAATCCTAGGAGTGTGCTAGCAGCCCCTCCTCTTTCCTAGGACTCACAACATTTCTTCTCTGATGTTCGAAGATTTGAGGTTTTGGTTTGATAGCTGTTGTTGTTCTGTTCTGGGGAAGATGCAGGATTTCTAGACATGGCAGCTCTTCAAAAGATGTCTAAAAGAGAGGAAAAGATTGTAAGGAAAGGAAGGAAGGCGATATCCCTCAAAACAGTGCAGAGGCTCCCTGTGGTATAAGTGAAAACCCTGGGCCAGGAGTCAAGTCCAGCCCTTCTTTTTTCTTTCTCCCAGCTAATAGCTACTTCCATAGCCCTGTTTCCTTACCTACGAAGACAGGTGCAATGGTACTTCACAATTACATGCTGACTTAGGAGTTTACATTCACAGACGTTATTATCTCCTTCAGTCCTTCCAATAATCTTGTAATAAGGCAGATTTTGCTACCATTATTACTTCTCCCCATTTTACAGAATAGAAAACTGAGGTCAATCGAATTAAATGGCCTGCTCCAAGTTCTTTCATGATCTCAAATCCTAGTTTTAAGAATCTGGGCCGAGTAGTGGCAGCAGTTGGGGTGGGGTGGATTATGAATAGATCGAGTTTATTATCAAGGAAGTAATTACCATCCAACGGTAGGACTCAGTCTTGAAAAAAAAAAAAAAATGAGAGAAGTGGGAAAATCTCAAACATGTTCCCTGGGGTAAGAAACTGTTAACTGGACCCTGAAATAACCCTAGCACGTCACCATTTCTCCTCTCTGGGGTTCTCAATTCTCAGCCCCTGCTCGGCACCCCCTCCCCAATTTCTACCTTGGGACTCAGTATGAAGAAGGAACATCGGCGCACAGAGGTGGTAAATGTCTTCCTCAAGGTCACCTGCAGAATAAGGGGCAAGTCCTGATTCGACCTAGGGTGGGAGCGCCTCCAGCTCACTCACACTCGTGAAGACGGAAGGTCGTACTGCTTCCAGGACCTTGCGCTGTTCCTCCACTGACCACACAAGCCCTCCAACCCAAACACCAGCTGCGGCTCCCGGCCCCAGAACGCCCGCACCCCCCGCAACGCCCGTGGGGACCAGCACTTCCCGAGAGAGCCAGGCATCACCGCCCCGCACCGCACCCGGGCGCACGCAGCGCCCCCCACCCGCGAGCCCGCCCGCTCAGCCCCCTGCCGGCGCCGCGCAGCTGTCGCTCACCCTACGATCCCTGCTCCGACTCCTCCCAGCAGCGGGCCCGGCGCGTCCCACGTAGCTCCGCAGGCCGGATCCGACAGATTGCGGCCGGGGGCCCCACACTCCAGCCGCCGGCAAGTCACGTGCTCCTGCCCGGCTCCGCCCCCCCGGGCGACGGTCCTCACCTGGAGAGAGTCGCCGACCAATCGAGCGCCCGCAGGACCCAGGGGGCGGGGCTCAAGGCGGAACCGCTGACAGCGGCTCCTGAGGGAGGATGGAGCTGTGAAGGGGAGCCCGCACAGGCTCCCCAGTTTCCCCAGCCACGCGGAGGTTGGTTGCATTGTTGCTTGGTAACTGAGAGAGCTGGGGGCGGGGTTAATTTAAAAAAGCCCTCCCTCCTCCTTACTCTCGCGAGAGTGGATTACTAAGTAGCCGCCTTGAGAGGGTGTGACCTTTTGATGACTGGGAAAACGTTGCAGAGATTAACGCTTTCGTCCCTGAATCCCAGCGGGACCTCGTCAGAGCCATAAATTGGAGCGTAAGCTTGAAAATATGTTTCGCTGGAATAAGCCACCACAATACTGGAGTTGATTACACCTTAGGGTGTTTGCGCGTCCTTCCCGTAGGTCAGACACTGTAACCCAAGAAAATCAACTACTCTCACCTCTGAACCAGTAGCTTCCCTTGGACCCATCCATATATTCCAGTGGACTTCTAACCACCTTCTTTATTCCTCTTCTACCGCCCCTTACCCACAGGCTATATCATCTGTTGTGGTCATCTTGAACAACCAAGAAGGAAAATTGCACCAGCAAAATACTTGAGTCATGAAAGGTGTAAAAAGAATGCAAAGGTTCCATATAATTTATTCAGGGATGAAGGCTTTTACACTGGAGGTGAGTTTGCACATTCCAAGTGAACTACACTTTTTATAGTTGCCCCAGCAGGCTCGTTAGATGCTTGATAAACCCACACTAGGCAGGGTGAGACTTGCTGTCTGGATCCAAGATGGGTAAAGAAAAGTGAGTATAGATTTCTTGAAAAGAGAAAGAGAAATTACGGGACGTCTTTATTCCTCCTTCACCTGGGAATTAAATTCATCCTTCAGAACAGTTCAAATAGTTATCTCCTCCTTGAAGCTTCTGACAACTCCCAGCGTGTTATAGTTTCCCTCTCTGTGCCTATACAACTCTGCCTTGACCCACCCAGCAAGTATTTATTGAACACTTTTTATTTGTGAGGCACAGTCCTGGGTTCTAGGCATACAGGGTTGAAAAGGGACACAAAATCTAGCATCATCGCGTTGCTGTGAAATTCAGCACCTAAGTGTCTCTCACACCCCACCCTCTCTCCCCCACCACAATGAGTACTTATTACAACTGAAGGCAGGAATGGAGTCGTCTTCATTTTTGAATGCCCAGGAACTGAACTGGCATCTGGATGACACAGGTTAGTCCTCTTCATTCCTCCTTTATACTGCCACCACCTGCATGAGGCTGTTGCCCCAGATGCTGACCTCATACTGCGCTTTCTGATGTGGCAAATGGACGTTTTTCAAGTGCAGTCCCACGGAGGTGGAAAGGCCAGTCGTCCGGCCCCCTTAACCCCAATGACTCAATGTTTGGTGCAGCCACGAGTCTGGTCACGAGTATCTACGTGTTTCTGACAGGTCCTCTGACTCACTGACCATTCTTGGCATTCGTGTGCTTTCTGAACTATAATTCTGTTTCTCCCGGTATGGTCTGGGTGTAGTGTGGAAGCCCTAATTTAACAATTTCCGACCTCACGAGGTGCAAGGTCACATTCCAATCTATAGTACTTGATTTAGGAACTCCTTTCTCCGCCCTCCTCTCTTGAGCATATATGCTACCGACGCGGAGGGCACCTCATTCTCTCTACAGGTAGCAAGACCAGTTGTACTTTAGGAACACAGACAGACCTTAACCCTTTGGCTCGTGAGGGAGCGTGGGGGGCGGAATTAGTTGTCCCTTTAAGAAAGTTTGCGCTTCTTACAGAGCTAAGGCAGAAGCCGCGCCGAAGTGTCGCGAGAACTGTAACTACCCGCAACTTCTCGCGATGTTTGGACCCGCGAAAGGTGGCCATTTTGGAGTCCACCCGGCGGCTGGTTGCCCCGGCGGCGTCTACCAACCTGCTGCCGGGACCAAAGCTGGCCCCGCGGGTGCTTGGCCTGTGGGCGGCCGGACCGACACGATGTGGCGGCTCCGCTGCAAGGCCAAGGATGGCACCCATGTTTTGCAGGGGCTGTCCAGCCGGACCCGGGTGCGGGAACTCCAGGGCCAAATTGCCGCCATCACCGGGATCTCCCCCGGCGGTCAGCGAATCCTCGTCGGATTTCCACCCGAGTGCTTGGATCTCAGCAACGGGGATACCGTTCTGGAGGACTTGCCCATTCAGTCGGGTAAGTAATTGGGGCAGGGCCCCGGGAGAGTCCTGGGAGAACAGGGGCGTGAGAGAGAACGGAGAACCAGCCAAGGCAAGGTGGCTGTGGATGGGTCCGCTGTGGGCTGTGAGGACTAGGGTGAGGATAGATCAAAGGAACAGAGGCTGGGGCACGTGTCTAGCAACTCCTTGTTTTTACGCATGGTTGAAAGAGAAGCCCAAAGCCTTGGAGTCCCTCTTTACCAATCTGCTTTCTGGTCTCCTGTGAAACTGTCTCAATTCATTTTGTTTTCCCTCTACAAAAGCATTAAAAAGTAAGACCAATTTTTTCTGTCCTTATGGCTCTTTTTCCATGTATCATCGATCAGATCTGAAGGGTGCAGGATCCTTTTGTTTTGTTTTGTTTTGTTTGCTTTCTTGGTTCGTTTTGGCAGTCCCCTTCGTATATACTTTGACAGGTATACTTTATTTTAGAGCTGGCTTTTAAACACCCACTGAAAGTCCTTTCAATTTGTAGCCAACAGCAGTCATTTCTGTCCAGTATTAAAACATGAACATCCTTGTTGACAATTTAAAAGCTTTCTGTTGTGGCAAGGACTCTATAAAAACTAAGTAGGGTAGGTATGTTAAGTTTCAAAAGGAGGAGAACCCCCTAGTGGCCTAGTCTGTGGTGAACACCTGGAAGATTGATGCTTTTAAAATGCAGAGAGCAGGTACATTGTATAAGGAAATTTTGGTTTTGAAATGTATCTTTTTAAATAAGTATAAAGTTGTATACTCCAGGCTCCTTCACTAAATTGGAATGCAACTTGAAATGTTTTGTTGTTTGTTCTGTTTACATCTTTATGAAGATTCAGTGAACAGAAAGTGTTACTGGTTGCTTATTTGCAAAGCTGAGACTTAGTAACTCCAGTTTATACTTACTCTGTTTGTAATTCACAGACTTGGCTAGTGAACACCCAATTTCACCTATAATTTCTCTGCAGTTCTGGATTTGTTTTATTTTAACAGGCGACATGCTGATTGTTGAAGAAGACCAAACCAGGCCCAAAACTTCACCTGCTTTTACAAAACATGGTGCTCCTAGTTACATCAGGGAAACTTTGCCTGTACTTAGCAGAACGGTGGTCCCAGCAGACAACTCTTGCCTCTTTACCAGTGTGTACTATGTCGTTGAAGGAGGAGTCTTGAATCCAGCTTGTGCCCCTGAGATGAGACGCCTCATAGCACAAATTGTAGCAAGTGATCCAGACTTCTACAGTGAGGCAATACTGGGAAAAACAAATCAAGAGTACTGTGACTGGATCAAAAGGGATGACACTTGGGGAGGAGCAATTGAGATATCGATTTTGTCTAAGTTTTATCAGTGTGAAATATGTGTAGTGGATACACAGACGGTAAGAATTGATCGTTTTGGGGAAGATGCGGGGTATAGCAAAAGGGTCCTGCTTATTTATGATGGCATCCACTATGATCCGCTTCAGCGTGACTTCCCTGATCCAGATACACCTCCTCTGACCATATTCTCCTCTAACGATGATATTGTTCTTGTCCAAGCACTGGAATTAGCAGATGAAGCTAGAAGAAGGAGACAATTTACTGATGTAAACCGCTTCACCCTAAGATGCATGATATGTCAGAAGGGATTGACTGGACAAGCTGAAGCAAGGGAACATGCCAAGGAGACAGGCCATACCAACTTTGGAGAAGTGTGATCTATGCACAAATGAGGGTTGAAGCCAGCTACCTCACAGATCCAGAAGGCTCTGGGTTTTCCAATAAGCTATTTGTAACCCTAAAGAATGAAAGGACACAATGCTTGAACCATCCTTTTAACTTAAAACCACTAAGACACTAAAATTCCAAGTTAAGATTAAAATTAGTGTGCAAGTTTACAGATGTGTGTCTACAGTGGTGATACATGCCCTCTTTCTGCTGGGGTGACAGTGGGGCCACCTACTGACACTGACTTGAAAATTGAGTTTTAGTATTATAAACTAGCACCCAGCAGCTTTAACTTGTAGAAGAAAACAACATCACATTTTGGGTTATGTGGATGGCCTCATGTGAGGCCACTGGACATGTACCACAGTGTATCCAATAATAGAGCCCTTTTAATAACTCTGAGTGAGTTAATAGTTTCTAAATTATGAATTGATTCATCAAATGAAGATACTCAGAATTGTCAAAACTGATTTTCTATTGCAGTTTGGTAGACTTTGTAAATGTGTACTTAACCACTTATAAGTATATAACAAGCAACTTTTACAGGGACGAGTCTCTTCCTTGAGAATGTTATCTAAAAAAGGAACTGATAGTTCCCTGTTTAAGATTTCTGGTGTATAAAAGTAGAATGTATGAGGAAAAAGGTGCCTGAGCAGCTTACTGAAGCTTTAAAAGACCGTTGGCCTCGTGTTTTAATGCAATTCATGTATTGGCCTTTGTCACATTGGATAAAATTTTTAAATTAAGCAGGGTATTTTTTTTTTAATTGAGATTCATTGAAATTTGAGTGCTCAACTTTTGCTTTTTTACATAAAAATTTGTCTGGAGGGATTTAATTTTCTCAGCTTTTTAAGAGCACTTCCAAAAAACATCTCCATCTACTTTGATTGGGTTTTTGTAAGATGTTTTGCATAAGTAAACAACAGTATTGGTTTTTCTGCTAGCCTTATCCATCCACTAATTGTTTTTTAAATAATTCCACATTTTTGCAAATTAGCACTTTGCTTATCTGCAATCTTTGACTTTTGAAGAGTTTTAAAGTAATTGGGATTATACTGTTGAATGAATTTGTTTCACTTCCAAAATACGAAAGTTTCAAAATCCTTGCCTTACTCAGCTTTCTCAGAATTTTGCTTCTTCCTAATATTAGATGTGTAGCCATTTGCTTGGTGGACTGATTCACAAGGCACCCCTCTAAAACTTAGCTTCACTACAAGATCTTCCAGATAAAGTTCTCTACCTCTTAATTCTTCTGAAGATCAGGGATGCAAAATTATAATTTGTTATGTATTATCTCACATAATGTGAAGAGGCTTAATGTTGTGAAGTTTTGTTATCTTGGTCTCATTTTTGATTATGTATCTCACTTAGAAACCAATGGTACACTTCAAAGCACTTAAATCTCTTTCAGCATATCCTCTTGGCAAATGTTATAAAATTGAGATTTACTTTTAGCACTCTCACTTGGTGAAGGTGGCCATGTAAAATTAAGGAACGTGAACAATTTAGGAGAAAAATATGCTTAAGGAACAATTCACAAAGTATGCTTGAAATCATCAGATGACATTTCTTGAGTATATTTTGTGTGTATAGCTGTTTTATGCATTTTAAGCTATTGTGGTCAGTATAACTTAAGAGTGTTTAATTTTCTATTTTACTGAGCCTTAAACATAGTGCTTGTGAACTTAGGATACTTAATGTTTGGCAATCATGATATGTACAAATGAATATAAAAATTTCTTCGTACCTTACTCTCATCTGCTCAGAATGGGTTTTGTATCTCTCTTATTTCCCCCAGAAAAAATTTAAACTGTAAATTAAGAATATACCACTGGATAACAATGATGAAATTGAGCTTCATGCATCATTCATAAAGCTCACAAAGCTTGCCTTTCTTTGCTACTTCAGGAGCCAAATTTGGCATTTGCTTACTGGAACTTTAGATCCAGAAGTTTATTCATGCACAACAAGTATTTATTGAGTAATTTTTACTGTGCCAGGCATGTTTTGATATGTTCCCCAACATAAATTTCTGTCACTTTAAAATTGAATAAATATTATCTATAGTGGATTAATTTAACAAATGGAAAGAAATACAACACTGATATTTTACAAAATTAAACCTCTTCATTTTAAGTGTTTTGTTTACATATTAAGTGTCAAGTATTTATACAGGGGATCTTATTTTATTCTGTTTTATCTGTTACCTAGGTTGTCCATTCATCAGTTGGACACTGATGCTCAAATTGCTTTCAAAGATGACTTTTTGAAATAATCATCTGCTGAAATTCAGTACTAGTTACTTTAAGATAGTGTCCTGATCATGGAAAATTCAAGATGAAGCATTATTTGCAGATCATTTGATTTAGTTATTGAGGATTAAAAATTGAAATTTCTGTTCATTCTAAATTCAAGCTTGTAGGCCTCAAAAATTTACAGGGTTTTTTTAAACTACACTTATTAAACTCTTGAAATTAGTTATTCATGTGAGTAAATTCTCATCTTGAGAATTTCAAAAGTATAGATTTTGAACTTACAGCAGGATTAAAAGAAACTTTCTTACATTTGTACTGGAGCAGAATGAAATCCTTCTTCCTATTCATTCAGTTTTTGCCTGCCATACAAGAATTTTGATCAAAATGAAGACAGTTTACATTAGTGGCAGAGTGAATAAAGATTGTGCTTTCCCACTCTCCCCCTCCTCTTTTCCCTTACTCTTCTTTGGAATAAAGATTAGATGCACTGTCACATGAAGATGCACTCTAGATAAAATCAGAAGTTAATATCCCTGAGAATTTTGTGATGTGATGTAACCATATGAAGACCTCAGTATGTTACATCTTTTATTAATAGTTCATGTTTGATTTCTTAATTGTTTCCTGTGAATGATAATTTGGTACAGTCAAGTGATATCTTTGAAGCTTGGCTGCTGGTCACCTTGACCCCGTTGTTAGGGACTAGTGTAGTAATACCAGTTGGTTATTCCATAAAGTCCCAGCAAAATCATAATCAGGAATTAATTAATATTACGTTATCTATCTATGCCCATAAGTGCCCATGCCTAACCTGCTTATCTAGTTATTCCTCTGTCCTGTGTAGGAATTAAAACATGGGTGTTGCAAGTTGCCCTAGCCAAACATAGTTTTCTGTGTCTTTTTGAAAAAATTAGAATGGGAAGTATGCAAGATTAAGCAACAGAGTGATTATTTTTTTTGACAACTCTGGTGGCCTTCCTAAACATACTAAGAATTATGTTCTTTCATGTGTTGAGACACACATTTATGATTGTTTGCAGCACTTTAAAAAAATATGAAATAAAAGTTTACATGTTAGACCTCTCTAGGGATCTTGTTAAGAACATTAAAATACAATTTTTGAACAGCTAACCATCAGCTCTTCTTAATCAACTATTGACATCAATGTGTAGTGTATCTGGCGGTACAACATTCCAGTATTTTGGTAACAGTAGAACTCAATTTCAGTAACTATTAGGAGCAAGGTGTATGCCCTAGCATTAAAAATGTTACTATTAAAATGTGATTGTCCTTTATCATTTGTTGTACAATGCAGTATTCAAACTTGTCCTTGTAGCACAAAGATGACTGGCAATTTCTAGAAGATTAGATTTTTAAGACTCTTCATTTGTTTCTAAGCAAACTTATTTTAAGGAAGCTGATTTTTGAGTCAGAGGCCTTAAAAGTGTCATATATAAGCTACATCATTTTTAGGTCTAAAGTAAAACACTTGATTTGAGTAAGCTAGTTTAGTTTAACTAAAGATGTTATTTAAGTATTATAATTATATTTCAGCACATTCAACATAAAAAGAATATAAAGTGTTCCTGATTGTGGGAAAGTGGGGTTTTCCCCTCAAAATTAGCTAGCATTTTGTTTACAGTGCTTTGACTATTTGACTTGGGAAAAATTATTACACTGATAACGAATTGTGGGGTGCTGATTTAGGTCTGGATTCATATGCATTTACAGGAAGTTGATAACCCTCCCATGATATTTGAGAGTGAAGGGGGGAAGGGGCAGGAGGATAAAGTACTACTAAAAAAGAAGAGATTGTCAAATGGATGCATTGCAACTAGTCACAAGTTATGCTTTTCAGAACATTTTTAAAGTAATGCCTTTGTTACCTTAACCTTTCTTCCATTTGTTGGCATAGAATGTGGCATAGCCATGGGTGAAAAAACTTGTCATTAAATTGTAAAATTATGAATATAAGCATTTTGCTATGATGCCCTTTTAGACTTAGATTTTTAAAAGTTCTAATCTACATGGAGGAATTTAGGAATAGTGAAAATATAATTTGCTTAAGTGGTAGGTAAACAGGAAGATTTAGAATTCCTACTAAGGTTACATGAGTCTGACTTTATAAATGGTATGGGATATATAATTAATTATAGACCATAAGTTGAAGGACCAGGGGACCTAATTCATGTCAATTTCCAGTTTATATTGGTGCCACTTAGGACTCAAGCTGTTTACAGGAAATATGTACTTAGCAAAGTAATATTTTTCCTTTAAAAATTTTGAATTCAGCTTAAAATACAGAATATGTATAGCTTGTCAAAAGGGATAGAGAATAAAAATATTCCTGTAGTTCCTATATTAATGCAGTAGAGACGAAGTTTCCCAAAGCCAAAAGAAAACCCTAAGTAAAGACTCAAATTTAGAGCTTTAGGTCATAACTAAAGCAAAGGGCAAAACAGAGCATAAAATATTTTTTCTTAATGAGGATGAACAGTGTTTTCTTGTTTTAAAAATGCTTTGTCTATTTGCCAGCATCTTTTTTTTTAAGTTAATGCACTGCTGCTATCTGGAAGGTGTCTAATTTCATTTTGTACAACTTCTATGTGATTTTGCCATTGTCATTAAGATGCATTAATTTTATTTATGAGGTGTATGATTTTAAATATCTAAATGCTGTATGAAGTGACTTGTTTTAAATAAATGAAGTGAAAACTTTGTTGTTTGAGCATATTTTGGGATCAGGGGAGGGGTCCAGTGAACAGCTGCTACATTCAAGTTACATATGCGTCAAAAGCTAACAGGCTATAGCTATGACTTGTGTACCAAAATCCACCAAATCTCATCCTTTAGGTGAACTCTTAGGAGAAACCAATGTGTGTTTCCTTCTTAATACCAGAAGGCATTTGAAATTTCCGTTGATTGATTAAATTTTTTTCTTAGCTCCTGAAAGTTGTCATTCAATATCTGTTGACAAATTGTCAAGGTGAAAAGGCTAAATGTTCCCTTTCCTTTATAATAGACTGGGATCTGTGTGAACCTAGATTTGTTTGAAAATGGCAACATCTCTATGGGAGAATTTATTTCATGTTTGATAATGCCAACATTTAAACATTTATTTGAAACAATGCTGGGACTATTA